CCCCCCCCCCCCCCCCCCCAATCAAACGGCAAGAATCTTAATTTTCGAATAGGTAATGTCCACGAAATAATTTTCCTTCAGGACACTGTGCAGATGCCCATTAACGGCCCAATAAAGGCCCATTATCCAATAATAGCCCATTGTGGTGTTTTTTTTTGCGAAAATGAAAAACGGAAAAAAAAGGGACCTTGGAGTCGCAGAACAAAAAGGTCTCTTGCGCATTGATAAATGTGTACTCTGCAGACTGGAAGAAACACGTTCTCTCTCTCGCTCGCTCGCCCATCAACGGCCCTTTTCACTAAAATACACTGCAAGTCTCTCTCTCTCTCTCTCTCTCTCTCTCTCTCTCTCTCTCTTAGGGTTTAACTTTAAGGACGTCTGCTATTGCGGGAGCTTTGCTCAGGAACGACAATGGCTTCGTTACTCTTGAGCTGGTTTAATGTTGATGCGTTTCTCTCAGGAGGTAATATTTTCTGGGTTAAATTTTTCTTCTTTGAGCTGCAATGTTTGATTTTGATCATTAGGGTCTTCTGAGCTTCGAGATTATTGCTGGAAATTTGAAATCTTGGCGCTGAATTGTTCGGATTTAGTTTTCTGCTTTAACCGTGATTGTTTCTCTACATGGGTTTTGTTCAGTATGGATTGCGTTTTAAGATAGTGTTATGAGTGCTTAATGCGGTGATGTTACCTTGTTCTTTTGGTGATGTTCATCCCCGTAGAGAAAAGACATTGGTTTTGATTGATAACCGGAGATGATAAAAACGACGATGCAAGCGCTTTAAAAACGAAAATGGCATTTTTTTTTCTATCTCTGAGATTAAAGATGGGGAATTCTCCGTTTCCTCGTCATCAAGATGGTGAACCAGTTCTTGAAGTAACCTAGGAGCCTTAGATGATATTCTCTGTGAAGAAATAATGAATCTTTTTCGAACTGGATCCCAGTTTCTTGAGAAAAATGCATAATATCATGTTTAGCACTGAAGAAATGTGTAGCTTAGAAGCAGATTGATGCAGCCTCCACGTAACAAAACTCAAGTAGATATATGGGTGTACTTGATATGATGTTGGTCTTAGGATCAATGCAAGGCACTGCTCTTAATCTCAATGAGTTTATCTAACCTTGTTCTGCAATGTATATTTGAGGTTTTGTAAAAGCTAAACCTTTAGATGGAAACAGTAGTTTCTCAAAAAATTTAATATTGCAGCGTGATTTGTTGGTTCTCTTGTTTTTGGCTCTTGTTTTCTTCTGTAATCATATCTACCCTTTATCGGTTACATATCATGAAATTTTTCTGATGCTAGGTCCTTATACCATGGTGATGCAGCTGATAACTGGTCCGAGGATATTTTCCCGGTTTCATATGAGACATGTAAACCTTTCTTCTGAGGTATCATTGGTATCAATGATTTGATATGCTTCAGGGGTGGATAGGGAATGAAGCCATTGGTCCGTGTCTCTGTAGGATAGATGTATAAAATTCCATGTCTACCTTCTCATCTATTTGGAAATTATTTGGATCATTGAACATCAATCTTTTCTTATTCTTTTTCGGATTTTCTCCTATAGATTTCTGAATCATATGCATCAATCTTATTAACTTCAGCAGTCACATACCATCGACAAGATCGATTACTGCACTACAAAGAATCACTTTGTAATCGTAAGACACTCTTGCTTAGTCATTTCAGGGTCTCAATGTCAGGAACTGTGGCACTGAAAAGAGACTAAAACACCCACATGATTAAACTGAAAGTGATACATGCAATTTTGTGTATTTTTACATCAAAGAAGGAATGTGCTTGTGCTGTCTCTACGAGAGTTGTGATCTTGCGAGACTTCTTGTGTATTAGCCTTACCTTGTCCTAGCCAAGACAGTGTAAGATTGGTCGGGAATATCTTCTTCCCGGCTTCTGGGTGTGAGACCTTCTTGCCACTGGCAGCGTGAGAGAAACTCCTGAGCTCGTTAAGTCGCTTCATCTTCTCCTTCTTCTGCTTCTTCTTGTGGAAGGAGAGGAAGAACGATGCTACAACCTTGGTGACTTGCTTCCTCGAGGAGGGAGAAGCTTTCTGGAGTTTCACATGCTGACCATGGCGAGGACAACGTCGGGCAATTCTGATCAGGAGTTTTCTGCAGGGTCGGAGAATCTTGTGATCAAAGGTAACTAATGATGCTCTACCACTCATCTCCGGTTTATGTTCTGTCTCTAGCAAAACAGGATTGGACATGAAACAAGAGAGAGAGAGGGAAAAATCTGTATGTTGCGACTGTGTATGTATATGGCCTGGCTTCTCTTTTGTGTATGCTTGGTTTGGGATAATGTCTGGTGGGTTTCACGTCTTGGTGAAAGCCTCGCTAGTTTATGGTGTACCATGAAGTGAAAACAAGAGTCAGTCTTTTCTACAGACTAAGTCTTCTGCATAGTGTGATTGCAAGTTCTATCATTTACATTTTCAACAATTATAAAAGAAAAACAAGTTTTTTAAGGTGATGATTCTATTTCTACAGCTTTGTATAGTTTCAAATTAAAAAAATTAAACATGTCCAAATATAAAAGCCAAAAATCTATTTAGTTGAATTTTCGAAACTCTGAATTTTCTTGCTGGATTCTACTTGGCAATGGCATCCATTGATGGATGTATAATTACAATCCTTAAAGCCTGTATCTTTATTCAATGAATACACACCCAAGAGGTTAAACCCTAAAAAGAAAGATCCTCAATCAATACATGAAACTGATTTCTTTATCTCCTCACGCCATGAACTGCAGCAATATACAGAAGCTGCGTGACTGAGAGTATGATCAAGAATGCCTCCATAGTTCTCTGCATGGAAACACGGGCGAAAAAACGATACCGAAAACTCAGCGGCTTCGAAGTGAATCTGTAAGAAACGAGCTGGGAAAAAGAGAAAACTCACCAGACGTGCATTTCGTACGTGAAAGGCGATCTCTTTCCATGCGAATCTGATCAAAGGAACAAGAATATATAATGTGATCCACAGTTCAGAACATATGGCTGTATTTATGAGCTCTTTTAGTTTCATTACCCCATGGCGAGGAGGGTGAGGGCCCAAGCAATAGTTGCCGCCATGGCTGCAGCAGGTAAGCTCTCTTGGTTCCAAGAACGGATATGGTTAAGCCCGGAAATGGCAGACGCTGCACCCAGGACACCTGCAAGCAACGAGAATGTAACGAAGAATCCTGTGGCAGCATTCCCCATCGGGAAGAAGATTGGCGAGAAACGTGCCGGGAGATTGAGATCAGGGCCTGTGAAAAATGATAACAAGTTAAAGAACGAGTCTCTTTGTCTGAAACCTTATTGGAATCAAGAAAGTAAAGTGTAGAGGAAGATGATACCAATGGCGAAACCATGGTCGATTGCTCTGTTCATGGCCCATCCTCCAATCCCTAGAACAATCACATACATGCAAAAGTTCAGCACCAGAAGCAGAGAAGCAACCGATTTCGTCTGATCACCCGCCATTTTCCAAGAAGAGAGAACACAAAATTCAAAGATATATGTATTGTTTATGCGCAGACTGAAATCAAAGTGAGGCTAATTAATTATATATACCGAACTGCCTGGTTCTTTTCTTGTTAAGGCTGCCCGATTGAATCCAAAGAGTTGTAAAAGTTCATAACTTGAAGTTCAAGGCTTATTTTATATATATATATAAAAAACAAGATTCTTGGCTTTGCCCCTATGTTGGGATTTGCAAGAATTTTCATCTTCTTACAAGAGAAAAAAGGCAAGATTCTTTGCCGGAAAAGAATTCCTCAGATTTATTAAGTTGATGTTCTGTGAGCTGAATTTTGTTATTTATAATGCTCCTACAGATCAAGCTAACATTTCCACCACAGCTGAACCTGGTGATCTTTTCATGTGAACGTTTCTCACCGCCGTTCAACCCAAAGAATCAATATTTTCTCAGGAAACAAACAGAAAGATACAAATGGAGGAACTTACCTCGAGGGCTTCGAGATTTAGAAAACATTTGAATGCTTTAAATCACAATCAGTACAATGAAAAAATTAGGTACCCCTGACACAAACAAAGCGTAAGAATCTTTATTGACTCCATGATTACTCAAACAAATGAATCATACCATTAACAAACTTTGATACAACAAGGCATAGGATTCTGAGGCCGGTAAAACATTAGGTTATCCAAATCCTCTGATATCAAGATTCACAAGGTTTATATATAAATCAGTGGTTCATAGTATAGGAACCAATCCAAATGGTTATTACTTTAGCAAGAAAAGTAAATGAATTTTTTAATCTCAGAGAATTCGATTACATCAACTCTGTAGCAATTACAACGCTTTGAACTGCAGTAAAGATCTACACAATATTCAAAAAACAAAACAAAAATGTCACATGAACAAATCCAGTGGTGCATCCTCTCCTGAAACGTAACCCAGAGCCTTTGATTTCTCCGGTCCTTCATGTAAAAACAACGCTAGGACAACAAAGTCAAGAACGCAGATCTTATTCGGACCATTACCCACCTCGTGAGCCTCATCACCAAACCACAAAAAGAGAAAGCCATTTAAAAAATATAAACCGAAAACAACAATTATCAGAACATTATACAACACAAATTATCATTGAATGAAGTATAAGCAGGGATAAAGTAACAGAGAGCTTATTGTAAGAGATGCCCACTGTGTCGCAAGACCTGTTTTGATTTGATATCTGCCATAAAAACGAAATGACCAGATACTTTCAGAAATCTGGCCATTAGATACCACAGGCATTGTTAAAAACATTACTCAAGAAATAATCTGCAATCTCAGCCGAAAGATGGTGAATTTTGATATTATTAATCACGGGAAATCATCTACGCAAAAGAATTTGCATCACTGATTGCAGTGAACCAAACAAAACGATCAGACCAAAACAAAAGGAAAACACTTAGAATTCTATCGGA